TGTTGTTTAAAATAGCTTCCTTGAAAGTGGCAGGCTCATCATCCTCCACCGAGAATACATACTCAACCAAATTTGTCTGCCCATAGTGCCTCAAAGGCTCGTTTGACCCCAACTTTAGAACTTGCTTGTAAGTACGCCATGGCCTAGAGGAAGCCAAGTTATCTGCAAGCTGTTGTTGTTGCTGTGCCTGTACATTCTCTTGCTGAACCGCCTCTTGTTCAAGCTCATCATCACTCTCATCTTGAGTGTCTGCATGAATCTCCTTTTGAACATGACTAGAACCAGGTTGATCTCTAGGGTCTATTTCAACAACTTGAGACTTTGTAGTCTCAACATCATCACCACCGGGCACTGTAGCTTTCAACAAAGCTATCATGGAGTTCTCATCAAAAGTAACATCTCTGCTGATTATGAACTTAGAATCCTCTACACACCATAGGCGATAGCCTTTTACACCTGCCACATACCCCAAGAATATAGCCTTCTTGGCCCTCGCATCAAGCTTTCCCTCGTTGACGTGATAGTAGGCTGTGCATCCGAATATTCTGAGTTTCTCATAATCTGCATGTTCTTCTGTCAATACCCTGTAAGGTACTTCTCCATCTAACTTTGAATGTGGAGATCGGTTCACTATGTAGCAAGCATTTGCAACCGACTCTGCCTACCATTCTCTGCCCAAACTAGCATAGGATCGCATACACATCGATTTATCTCAAAATGTGCGATTCAGTCTTTCTGCGACCCCATTCTATTGCGGTGTATTCCTAACTGTCCAGTGTCTCGCAATTCCTTCCTTACCATAGAACTCCTTGAAAGCACCATGTGTATACTCAGTACCGTTATCAAATCGCAGTGTCTTCAATTTCTTTCCTGTTCTGTTTTCAACCATTGCTTTCCACTTCTTGAAAGTGTCGAATACCTCATTCTTATGCTTCAAAAAATAAATCCAAGCATATCTAGAATAATCATCAACAAATGTGACAAAATACCTGGAACCGTCTTTGGAAGTGACAGAAGCCGGACCCCATACATCCGTGTGCACATAGTCTAGAATACTTCTACTTCTATGTTTGCTTGGCTGGAACTGAACTCGGTGTACTTTACCGTACACGCAATGCTCGCAGAAATCCATGCAAGGCTTCTTCAAGTTCTTTAGCAAACCTTTCTTGACTAGCAGATCTAGCTCCTTTTCAGACATATGCCCAAGCCTCCTATGCTATAGCCGAGTGCACTCACATGGGTCTCCACCACTTCCACTTGTTCCAACCGCTACATCTTCAGTAATTGTAGTACCCTGAAGAGCATAGAGATTGTCTTCACGAATACCCTTCATCACAATCAAAGAACCACGAACAACCTTCTTTACTCCATTCCATGTTACAATCTTGCAACCACCGGAGTCTAAAGTACCAACAGAGATAAGGTTCTTCCGCAAATCAGGAACATGTCTAACATCCATCAATGCTCTAACCACTTCATCATACATCTTGATTCTAATTGAACCGAGCCCCACCGTTTTACAGGAATGGTTATTACCCATCAACACGGTTCCACCATCAGTGCTTCTATAGGTAGTAAACCACTTCCTGTTTGGACACATATGGTAAGAGCATCCAGAGTCAAGAATCCACTTACCGGAGAATTCTTCATCACAAGAGATGGTGTAGCACTCATCGCTTTCCCCTCCTTCCGAGGCATAGCTAACCTCTTGCTTGACTTGCACCTTTCCGTTGTTGTTGTTCTTATTGTTCTTCTTCCAACCCCTTTTGTTAGTACAATTCGCCTTGAAATGCCCAAGCTCGCCGCATTTGAAACAAAGCCTTTCCGCAAGAGGTCTAGAACTTGATCTAGATTTTTCTCCCTTGCCCTTTGGTCACACATTGCTTTTACCTCTTACAAACAATCCTTGAGCTTGCTCCTTGTTACCAATGGTAGATATGCCACTAGTTACAATCTTTCGAAGATCATCCACTAGAAGTGACGTTCTAGTGTCCTCCATCACAAGTTTATCACCCACAAGCATCAATGTTTGTACTAGGTTCTCGTAAGACTTTGGCAATGAAAGAAGTAGTAGATGTGCTTGATCCTCATCATCTACTTTCACATCAATGTCCTTCAAGTCCGATATGCACCTATCAAACTTGTTGACGTACTCCCGGATTGGTGTACCTTCATCCATCTTGCAAGTATACAATTTGGACTTCAAATATATCCGATTTATTGGAGTCTCGTCATGAAGTTCGCCTCCAACTTTGTCCACACCTCCGTCGCCGTTTCCTTACCATCAACCAAGAAAGCAACATCTCTTTCAAGGCATAGAATGATAGACGCTCGTGCCTCAAGATCTAGATCTTCCCAATCCTCGTCAGACATATCTATGTGCTTCTTCTCCTTTCCCGCCAATGCCTTGTGCAACTTTTGAGAAATTAACAAATTTCTCACTTGCATTCTCCAATATGAGAAGTCATTCTTCCTATTGAATTTCTCTATCTCATACTTCCCAATCTTCACCGTTCCTCTAGTAGACATAATTTATCTACTTGTTTACCGGAAATAAAACAACAAAGTTCACTTGAAAATTTTCACAAACACCTTGTGTGCACAACAAAGTTCAAGCCACCCACCAAAAATCGGAGCTTAAGCACCCTGATTTAAGAAGAAGCTCTGATACCAAATTGTTGGGAAGAAGCACTTCCCAATATTGCCCAAGAACAAACAAACTTGCAATGTGAAAATCCCAACCACTTGAAGATGAAAAGAAAAGATAAGAAAATTGGAGAAGAAATGATTTTCAATATATATGATGAACAATGGGTTTGGATTACTTGAACAAGCCTCAAGTTAATCCCCAAGAAAGAAAAATAGCTTTGAATTTATACCCAAGAAGAATAACCTCTTTCTTGTTAAATTCTCTCCAAGCCCTCTCTTCTATTTTCTCTCTAAAAAATCGGATGCAAGAAAGGGAAAAAATCAGCTATATAAATAGCTGGATCGGGCACCTGAGTGGCGCCTAGGCGCCAAGTTTCTGCCCCTTTCTGCATCGGGGGCTCCTAGGCGCCAAGTTTCTGCCTCGGTTGGGCGCCTAGGCGCCTTCCCTGCTTCTTCTCCATTTCTCACATACTCAATATCATTTCTTGCACAATTAAAAGACATTTATGTAAAGCAATTCATAAGCAGCAGAAAGCTCGAAAAGTATTTGGACGATCTCTATACGGTTGTACAACGAATAGGGGAAAGTTTTCGCAATTTTGTGGGATGATTCAACAAGGAAAAAGTTTTATTTCTGAATTTCAACACGCACACACCAATATCTGCATTCAAAGAAGGGTTAAAACCTTACTCAGACCTCTACAAAGTGTTAACTAAGTACCCTTGAAAAACGATAGAAGATGTGTTAGCAAAACCATGGGCTCAAATCAAGTGGCAAGAGGACAAGGCCAACACAGTCAGCTACCTACCCGTCGGGCACAAAGAACCCAGAAGTATCTAGAGGGAGGAAAGGTGAGGAAACGACCCTACCTAATACTAAGCCACAAAATCATGGTAAGAATGGACAATCGAAAGCCATTGGAATGCCCAAACCATTCTTAGACATGCTAATGATACTTGAATATGACTTCAAAATTTTACTGTAATTGTAAAGAAAGGCATAGGAAACACAATTAAATGGCCAAGAAAGACGAAAAGTTAGACGATAAGAGTGCACATCCAAATGGTTTGAATTTCATGGCAATCACGGACACAAAACTGAGGATTGTATTGCCCTACGATTGGAAGTTACTAATCTACTCAAACGTAGGCACCTCACCAATCTCCTAACAGAGAGAAAGAAAGAATGCATTATCTCTTCATAATCAACACAACAACGAACCACAAACAATACATTTTCCAATTCCTCTAATGCTTGATCGAATGACAAACTTCATCACTGGAAGATTGGAGGTTGTCGGATTACTCATTCAGCTGCACGAAGACACATTTGAATAGTTGCATAGACGACGCAATTTGAATCATGAAAGTTTTCAAGTAGCAGAGAAGTTTATCCCACTATTCTCAGCTTTACAAATAATGAGACATCAAATCTCCAAAACCCCTATCACGATGTTTTGGTTAATTCATTATCTATCGCTAACTGTCTTATGAAAAGGACTTTCATTGACAATAAAAGTTATGCTAATACACTTTTCCTTGAGATATTGAGAGAGATGCAGATCTTAGAATCAAGCATCGTATGCAACATAACCATTCTCATTGGATTCAACGATGAACACAAAATTACCTTAGAAGAGATGAAGCTCATGGTCTACATTGAAGGAGTAAATCTTCACACCAAGTTCCTTGTCATGGAGTGTCCATCGGCCTATAACGTTATTGTAAAAATGGTTCTACATATTGATATGTTCAAAGAGTAATATTACAAGAAATTATATACATAAGATTTGTATCTATTCTAGGAAAATGAAATCAGTAAAATGTAATTAATCTTCCATAATCTGTCTAATTCCTTTAATTTATCAATTAACAATGTTGACAGATTTGTATCCATTAATACTCCCCCTCAAGTTGGAGTGTAGATGTCTATCACACCAAACTTGCTGACATGAGAATGAAAAGTCGCTTGTTCCAATGGTTTCGTAAAAATGTCCGCAATTTGTTGTCCGGTGTGTACATGTGTGGTTCTAACTTCTCCTCTTTGTATCTTTTCTCGAACAGTATGACAATCCAATTCTATGTACTTTGTACGCTTGTGGAATATTGGATTCCCTGCAATGTGAATTGCTGCTTGGTTATCGCAAAATAGTTTGGCTGGTTCAGGGTGTTCAATGTGCACGTCACTTAAAAGATATCTCAGCCAAGTAAGTTCACCAGTGATGGCTGCCATTGCACGATATTCTGCTTTGGCAGATGACCGTGACACAGTGGGTTGCTTTTTTGCTTTTCCAAGAAATCAAGGAACTTTCCAAGAACACACAATAACCAGTAACTGACCTTCTTGTAGCCTAGCAACCAGCCCAATCAGTATCACAATAAGCCATGAGTTTTAAAGAACTATGTGTGGGAAAAAGGAGGCCTTGACCTGGTGCATTTTTCAAGTAACAAATGAGGCAAAGAACTGCATTAAGGTGAGGTCTTCTTGGAAGCTACATGAATTGACTGAGAGTAACAATTGAGTATGTGATTTTCGATCGCGTGATTGTTAGATAAATCAACTTCCCAACAAATCGGTGATATCGCGTTGGATCATGAAAAACATCACCATCCATTGGATTAAGTTTCAAGGTCTGCTCCATTGGGAATTTTGCAGGTTTTGCACCAAGTAAGCCGGCCTCTTCCAGCAGGTCTAGAGTGTATTTTCTTTGACAAATGGTGATGCCTGACCTGGATCGTGCAACCACAACTCCTAGAAAGTATTTTAATGGTCCGAGGTCTTTGATTTTGAAGTAAGTGTTGAGAAAATGTTTAAGATCACATATGGCTGCCTCATCATTCCCTGCAATGATCATGTCATCGACATAAAGTAAAATGGCAGTATAAAATGTGTTTTTAACCTTCACAAATAAGGAATAATCGACTTTCGACTAATTGAACCCAATGTTGGCAATGGATGAAGAGAACTTGTGAAACCAGCTTCGAGATGCCTGCTTCAATCCATATAAAGATTTGTTGAGTCGACATACATTATTCTCCCCTGTCGACTAAATCCAGGACTTCCTCAATCAAATCACCATGGAGGAAAGCATTTTGAACATCCATTTGGTAAAGATGTCAATTTCGAACAGCAGCAACAGCTAAGAGGCAACGGACAATAATGAGTTTGGCAACGGGAGCAAAATTTTCCTTGTAATCTATGCCCTCACATTGTGTGAAGCCCTTGGCAAAAAGCTAAGCTTTATATTGTTCAAGAGAGCCATCTGAGTGATATTTGATTTTGTAGATCCACTTGCAACCAATGGGATGGTGACCAACAGGTAGAGGCACCATGGTCCATGTATTGTTTTCCTCAAGTGCTCGGATTTCAGCTTGCATAGCATCAACCCATTTAGGATCAGAACAAACTTGCTCATAAGATACTGCTTCAACCAAGTGAGAGATGTTGTACACAAATTTCTGATGACAATTGGAAAGAGATGAATATGAAATATACCGTTGCAAGGGATATCGTGTGTGGACCGTAGAGGAGACTGGCCTGGGAGTGAGGAGAGCAGCATGGTATGTTTGGAAGTCTTGGAATTTGGATGGAGGTTTGGTGAGTCGTTCTGAACGACATAAAGGAGGTGGTGGTGGAGAGTGTGTGGTTTCCGTAATCTGGTCCGAGTGAGGTTGTGATGTGAGACCTTGAGTGTGTTGAGTATCTGGTGGAGGGGTCAGTGAAGTGTTAAAATCTGGTAAGGGGATTGAGTTGATAGGTTCTGGAGTGTCATGAGTGGGGTTATGTGTTGGGTTCAATTCCATAGATAGGTGTAAAATGAGGGAGTTGGGAAGCACAGGTTCATCATCTTGGTTTTTTAGTGAGTTTATGGGTAAAAGGAAATGTGTGCTCATGAAAAAGGACATCTCGTGGGGAATATATGTGATGAGTGTCAAGGTCAAGGACTTTATATCCTTTTTGTCCCTGTAGGTAGCTAAGACATATGCACCGTTTTGCTCGAGTGTCAAATTTATGCTTAGGATTGGGGTTAGTAGCATAACAGAGGCAACCAAATGCTCGAATGTGTGAGTATGAGGGTGGTTTACCATGAAGAATTTCGTATGGGGTTTTGAGAGACAATAATGGTGTTGGTAGTTGGTTAATGAGATAGCATGCCGTTTGTATGCTTTTTCCCCAATATTTTAATGGTAAGTTTGCTTGGAAACGAAGGGCTCGAGCGACATTCAAAAGGTGACGGTGTTTTCTTTCAACAACTCTGTTTGTTGAGGAGTGTAAGGGCATGTGCGATGGAAAGTTATGCTATGATCATTGAAATAAGGTTGCTTTGATAAAAATTCAGCTCCATTATCAGAACGAAATGCATTAATCCCACAATTAAATTGAGTTTCAACCCATGTGAAAAATGATCGCAATAAAGATTGTGCTTTAGATTTAAAAGTCATAAGATGAACCCATGTAAAGCATGAAAAATCGTCTACAATAGTAAGAAAAAATTTTGCTCCAGAATGAGAATTTATTTTATTAGGTCCCCATATATCGCAATGGAGTAAATCAAAAGGTGCAAATGATGAAATTGAACTAGAAGGAAAATGTAAACGAGTTTGCTTTGCTAATGGGCAAACCTCGCATACATGTTTGTTATCAAAACTTATTTCAGGTATGGATTTGGACAATACTTGGTGGGGGTGTGGTGGATGGATGCCCAAGTCATTGATGCCAAAGACTAGAGACATTGTTGACGTGAGGTGTAAGGTGCGGATTTTGATGTGATGAAAGGTAGTAAAGGCCGTTATATTGCTTGCCCAGGCCAATCATCCTCTTCTTGTCCACGTCCTGAATAACATAAAAAATCAAAAATAAAGTTACTGTGAAATTCAACGCTTTAGTAAGTTTCCTTATGGACAATAAATTCACCCTGAATTTTGGCACATGTAACACTCCATCAAGTTTCAATTCTTTAGATAATTGGTAGGAACCAATAGAATTAATTGGTGCTGTTCTACCATCAGGTAAGTTCAAGAAATCATGTTGATGAATTGGATTTATAGGTTGTAAATGACAGATATGATCTGTGGCTCCACTATCTATAAGCCAATATAAAGTTGTGGGCAAATTTTGTTTACCTGTGGCATTTGCAAAGGCATTACCATTCATTTTGTTCAACATGGCTATAATTTGATTGTATTCCTCAGTTGTGAAGGTTGGGCCTTCTTGTTTCATTGGCTGCACTTTTTGAGCATCTTCTTGACTAATGCCAAAATTATTTGCCGTAGCCCTCTTATTCTTCGACTGGATGTTTTTACCATGAAATTTGTGGCCAACTGGGAAACCATTCAATTAGTAACAGTACTCCACCATGTGTCCCTCTTGATCACAATACGTGCATTTGGATGTCTTTCGGGATGCTTCTCCAGTGCGAGAGGAAGTGATTTCACGTGAGCTACTGCCCTTAAATGGTTTGCCTGACTGATTTACAGCCATGGCTTGAAAATTGCCGTTGGTTCCTTCATGGCATGAGGCGATGTCGAGTTGCCATTCATGTTGCAGGGTTATGGAAAAGGCCTTTCGAGTATCCGGCAGTGGACTTATCATCAATATAGTTCCTCTAATTGTAGCATAGGTTTCATTTAATCCCATAAGAAATTGCATAAGTCTCTCATTTTCCATTCTTTCATTGACTTTCTTCAGTCCCCCACATGTACAGGTAAATGGTTCCTGATAGAAGGCTAGTTCATCCCATAAAGCTTTCTTTTTGTTGAAGTAGACGGAGATTGAATCTAAATTTTGTTGGTGTTCAACAATTTCTTGCTGAATTTGGTAAATTCTTGATTCATTCCCTAGTGAAAACCGATCATAGAGATCTTTCCATACGGCCGATGCTGAATCCATGTAGATTACGCTGGAAGCAATGTCTGGACTCACAGAATTCAAGATCCATGACAATACCATGTCGTTGCAACATTGCCAAGAATGAAAAGTTTTATATGTGGGTGACGACATCTCAATGGATCCGTCGATGAACCCGATCTTATTCTTTGCACTAAGACGGATGCGCATGGCTCGACTCCATTGTCCATAGTTGTGTGGTTCAAGGACTTTGGAAACCAAGATGAGGCTCGGATTATCCGAACTGTGTAGAGTGAGTGGATTCTCATTCATGGTGAGGCTCGAATTTTCTGAACCGTGTTGGGTGGTGGAATTCTCATTTATGATTTCTGTGCTGTCAGCCATTTAATTTGATGTGGTTGCGGGAGGTTTTTTTGGTTTATGAAGTCACCAAGATCGGTGCTCTGATACCATGTAAAAATGGTTCTGTATATTGATATGTTCAAAGAGTAATATTACAATGAATTATATACATAAGATTTGTATCTATTCTAGGAAAATGAAATCAATGAAATGTAATTAATCTTCCATAATCTGTCTAATTCCTTTAATTTATCAATTAACAATGTTGACAGATTTGTATCCGTTAATAGTTATCATGGGGAGACTTTGGATACATGAGATAAAAGTTGTTTCTTCAGCCTATCACTAGGCTATCCGCTTTCCCTTAACTTGGGGAATTAAAGAAATCAAAGGAAAAAAAATTTCCCATGTAACTTCTATAAGGATGCTTTCGAGTCTCAATTGAAACAAGTACACCAAATCCAATAAGAAGCAAGCGAATCGGTTAAGCCAAAGATAGAGGACCTTGATGAAGTCCAAACGATCCGGACTTTTTCGGGCACACAGTACAGATTGGGGCTCCACTCCCACCAAACATCAGGGATGCAATAATTGAATTCCTAGCACAACATCACGAGTGCTTTGCATGGTTTCATGTGGACATGCAGGTATTGATCCTTCGATAACAACCTATAAACTATAGCTCGATCCTAGTTACTAGACAGTTAGACAAAAGAGATGCAAGCTTGCTCTAGAAATGAACAAAAATATAAATGATAAAATAAAAAAAGCTTATTGATATTGGCTCAGCACGTAAAGTCGAATATCCAGATTGGTTGGCCAATGTCGTCATCGTCAAACAGGAAAATGGCAAATGGCAGGTTCGTATTTATTTTTCAAACCTTAATAAGGCATACACGAAGGATTCATTTCCTCTCCTACATATTGACACTTTGGTCGACTCCAAAGTAGAGCATGAGTTACTCAGCTTTATGGACGTATTCTCGGGATATAACCAAATCCTAATGCATTCAAAGGATCTAGAAAAGTTAGCTTTTGTAATGGAGAGAGGAACGTTACATTATAAAGTCATGTCATTAGGCCTAAAGAACAAAAGAGCAACCTACTAGAGACTCACTAATTCAATAAAAGGCATGGGGAACACAATTAAATGGCCAGGAAAGATGAGAAGTCCAAATGACAGGCATGAAACATCCAAATGGTGTGAATTTCATGGCGATTAAAGATACAAAATTGAGGATTGTATTACACTACGATTGGAAATTGTTGAACTACTCAAACATGGGCACTTACTAACCTCCTAACAGAGAAAAGAAAGAATACATTAACTCTCCATAGCTAATGTGACAATAAACCACAAGTTGTACATACACTAGCTCTTCCAAAGCTGACCGTATGATAAACTTCATTACCGGAGCATCGAACGTTAATGGGATACTCATTTAGCTGCACAAAGACATATTTGAATAGTTGCTCCTGCGACGATATTTTGAATCACGAAAGTTTTCAAGTAGCGGAGAAGATCATCCCACTATCCTTAGCTTTACAAGTAATGAGACATCAAATCTCTAAAATCCTCATCATGATACTCTGGTTATTTTGTTATGTATTGCTAACTTTCTTACAAAAGAGATTCTCATCAATAATGGGAGTTCTGCTAATATACTTTTCCTTGAGAAATTGTGAGATATACTGATCCTAGAATCCAACATCATACGTAACACAATCACACTCATAGGATTCGTCAATGTACATTAGGAGAGGTAATGCTCCTGGTCTACACTAAAATCTTCATACTAAGTTCCTTGTCATGAAGTGTCCATCGACCTATAATGTTATCCTAGGGAGATTTAGGATACATGAGATGAAAGCTGTCCTTTCAACCTATCATTAGGTCATTAGCTTCTTCGTACCTTGAGGAGTTAAAGAAATAAAAGGATAACAAAGAGTTTCACGTGACTGCTGTATGAATGCTTTTAAAGTCTTGACCGGAACAAATGTACTAGATCCAACAATAAGCAAGAAAATTGGTTGAGCAAGAGATGGAGGATATTGACGAAGTCCAAATCCATCCAGACTTTTTAAGGCACTAGGTACAGATTGGGGCTCAACCTAATGTCGAAGATTTCTAGCACAACATCACGAGTGCTTTGCATGGTTACAAACGGACATGATGATCTTATGATAATAACCCATGAACTAGAATTTGATCTTACCTATCATCCATTCAGATAAAAGCTCCAGATTGGAAAAAAAATTATCAACGAGAAAAAACAAAAGCTTATGGATATTAGCTTAGTATGCGAATTAGTATCCAAATTGGTTGGCCAACGTCGTTGTCGTCTAAAAGAACAATGACAAATGACGGGTTTGTATTGATTTTACATACCATCATAAAGCGTGATTGAAGGACTTTTTTCCTTTCCCACACTTTGGTTAACTGTAATACCTTAATTTAGTAAACCTTGTTTATATATATATATATATATATATATATAAGTAAAAAGAAAAAAAGGTTAGGCGGTGAATTGGATTGATATAAACAATCCAATTCAGATGCATACAAAACTCATACAAATCCAAATGCCCGCAATACGCAGAGAGAAACAAGAACAAGGAGAAAGAAAGAGAAAAAGAGAAAGAGAAAAAGAGAAAAGGGAAGAAGAAGAAAAAATAGAAATTTTTTGTCAACGTGTTAGGAATTAAGTGGTCTACATTATTAGGCTTGAATTTCTCAATTTTAAAAGGTAAGTAAAAAGTTACTTATTGTCAAGTTGTGTTTAATCTTATAGTTGTTAGATTAAATTCAATTTTATTGAAAGAGTTAAGTATAATAAACTATGAAATTGAGTAAGATGAAAGAAAAAATAGTTTTATTGATTAAAGAGATTTTAGAAATCCCTTAAACGTGAAATGATTAAGTTTGGGTATCGCCTATTTAATTATTGAAATTACTTAAAATAATTTATTGTTTATTTAAAAATTATATCGTATTTCACGCGACAGTACTGACATCAGAACAGCTTATCAACCGGGTTGATTTTGCGAACATAGTACAGTAAGTGGAAAAATATAAATATTTTTAAAATATTTATAAATTAAATATATTGTTAAAGTATGTGTAATTATATGCAATTATGTGTTCAAATTACATGATTATTATGGAAATCTCTTTTATTATAATACATGTGGAATTTCAAAGATTATTTATTATACATTTGGGACTTGGTATATAAGACACATGATATTGAGATTCGTTTGGTGTGTGAGACGTGATATTGAGATCGACCAAAAAAGCATCCGTGATTATATACTTCTTCCAGTTCGCAGAGGGGCTTTGGCCGTATTCTATTCTACACTAAAAGGTCGACTGGGGATGAAGGGGTCGTGACCGTGTATATATAGTTCACTGAGGGGCCTTGACCGTATTCTAAAATTGATTATCAGAGGTCTTGAGACTCGCTTTCATTCACGAAGGGGCCAAAGGCCCGTGGCGAAAGTTTTCAGCCCGAGGGGCGGATTACAGATTTTAGTGAAATGGTACATTTTTGGTGGATTTTTCAGTATGTTGATGTGATGAGATTATAGCGTGGTTATCAGCTGATATTTATATCATGATTTTAAGATGATATTTTACGACCTTATGTGAATATTTCACTTTTGGTTATAATTACATGATGTTATCTTGTAAATTATTAAATGATATAAACTCGATTTTCGATAAAAATGTAAAAATGAAAAAGTATAATTATTTTTGAATTTCTCCACTCACTGAACTATCAATTCATATTTTTTTGTAATTTTCCTATAGGTGGAAATTGATTCTTTTTAGCTGGAAGAGTCTAATGATTTCGAAATGAGAGCCACACAACATGTTGAATATTATAACTCATATTGATGAAGTACGAAATAAATATTTTGGGCCCATCGTATTATATTTTACATAAGTATTTGATTTTGTTGCATTTTTGAAATAACTCATAGTCAGCCTTGGTGATAGATTTGACATCTAGTCAGCATCTATTATCGGTGCACGTCACGTTTCGGGTCCACTAGGGTGATTCAGGACGTGTTGTGTCATTAACTCCGTAGCAAGGCTTGAGTTACTTAGCTTTATGGATGCATTCAGTGGTGGAGCCATGTTGAGACGATGCCCGCACTGAAATTTTAGGCCCAAACAATTTTTTTTTTCTTTTTTAAATCAACAGGGGATGTGAAATAAAAACATGTTTTAATTTACATGGATTTTATTTTTAGGCTCAATCCCATGATTTTGTTTTATAGTTTTATCATCATTAAATTCATGATCAAAACACAATATTCGACATGGGTTAAATCAGGGACGGACCCAGACCTTTAGTAAAGTGGGGTCAAAATTTTAAAAATAATTTTTTTAATAAACAATATAATATTAATGAAAATAAGTTTATATGTATTTTGACAATTTGAAAACGTCGTATAATTACATCATTATTAATATTATTAAATAAATTTTGCTATTTATAAAGTTTTGTTTATCATTTCATTAACAAATGCTGAGCTAATATTGAGTAAATTAAATTAAAAATATAAATTAAATGAATTGAAATAAAATTCAAGTTTAGTTCAAGAAGTAAATGAAGTTCAAATTTAAAACAAATATAATTCGAAAGTAATTCAAATTGCATTTAATCCGTGACGACCCTAAAAAATTTACGTCATATTTCATGTAAGACTTCCGAATGAAACGATATAAATTATATTGAAAAATTTATCGTGCAAAAATAATAATTAATTGAATTTTTTAAAAGAAAAAACAAGTTAGATGTCTTTTTGAGGTGTACGTTTGATACATATTTAACTATTTTCGAAATTCGTTTGGACCATTCGATATGAAAATGATGTAATTTTCGAAACAAACTTTTACATGGTATAAATAATTTGTGGATTCAGATAGCACATGATCGCAGACGAATTTTTAAAGTCAGGATATTATCGAAATTCTCAAAATACTAGTTTCAAACGCCCTACTTTAACATGTCATAACTTTTGCTCTAGTTGAC